GATTCGTCGAGATGGGCGTTTTGCATTTGCACAGTCTAGAAGAATAAACAGAGAGACAGATCAAATCATGGACCCAACGGTGACACCATTTATTTGTCGCTCATTTTTGGAGGCTAATGCCACCCAGTTCTCTTTGCAAGCTCGGCATTCCACTGTCAACTTTCTAATCACGATTCCTCCGACGGTCAAAGTCAACCTCACTCGAGGAGCCACCCATACGCACGAATCTACTTAAAACTTGAACAAAAAACAAGAAACCCGTTCCTTGGAAAGGAATCTTCAAAAAAGGTGAGTGCGCTTCAATCGCGGACGGGAATTGAGCCCGACGTGGCTGGTGATGAGTTAGTGACGATGTTCCAATAATGAACCATCTCCTGATGATGAGTGAGCTATAACTTACGGGTCGAACCCACAACCTTGAGATTAAGAGTCTCACGCTCTACCGATTGAGCTAGCCGGGCAGGCTTTGTGTTTCTGGTTGGTGACGAGGTCCGAGGATGGGAGGGTCTATGATGCGGGTCGAAAAGGGGGACGAAGTGGTGGATATCGTGTTCGTGGGTTTTGGGATTGGATCTCTCTTTTTGGGCGGAGGCGGGGGAGGAGAGGTATCAAAGTATGATGGGTTGGAGACGAACTATGTTAGGGAGATGATCTTGACGTAATAGAAAAAGCACGTGGATATCCGAGGTGGTTGAAAAGGATGTTCTGAAATGCTACATGTGGAGAATGATAGTGACTATAAAGAGTCGATATCGTCTTGGGAGACTTGCGCGCGCACTTGTGTCCAACATTGTGATTGAAAGTGAATCCATTTAAGTTCCCTCAAGAGCTATGCTCGAGTTTTTGATGACCCCTAAGTTGATGCAATTATCCTAACGATACTCGTTTCGCCGCTTTACAAAGGAAAACTTTTCGGTATGCCTGCTCTAGCAACACTCCTCATCAACGTGGACCTTGCCATGTGTGCTGGAGCTCTTCATCTCCTCAGCGTTGAGCTTCTTCAGGATCTCAGGCTCGAAGCCTGCAGCGGCATACGTAGCCTTGTCCTGATTCAAGTTATTGCCATTTGACAAGCCATACTCGGGTGTCGAAGAGCCGTTGGACGAGATAGTATCGTCGCGGGTGACAGTCTGCTCGACACCGTTCATGTACTTGCGGGTTTCATCCTCCACGGAAGAGCCGTTGATCGTGTAGCCAGTGTCGCTGGCGTCGACATAGGCCTCAAGTCCAGCACCCTTGCGGGGGTACTCCTTCATTAAGTCCTTGTGCACCTTGAGGGCAGCACACATGTCCTCGTGGGATATATCGTTGAGGAACTCGCAGTTGCCCAGAGGTGAGGGAACGGCGGCACGGAGCTTGCCGTCACGGGTCTTGAGGATGGCAGAGGTAGCCTTCTCGAGCATGTCCTCGTCAAAGAGGGGGTGGTCCATGGAGAGACCGGCGCGGGAGAAGAGGTTCAGCAGGCGGCGGTGCTCATCCGAGGAGAGCTTTCCGAGGACGTGGGCCAGAGTTGCGGAGTAGGCCATGTCAATAGAGATGGCGTGACCGTGGCGCAGAGGCACATCGGGGGAGAGCTCGTGGAGGGGTGACCAACTGCGCGGGGTAAGCTTCTAGAACGCTTGTGGCGTATGCAGGGTGGAAAGTTGGCTTACGTGTGGCCGTATGCGATAACACGATCAAGCATGATCTCGTGCAGGTTGGGGGTCTCTAGCTTCAACATCTCGTGAATACCGTTGCGGTTGATCCTGTCAGCCGCGTCCCTGACCTCCTTGCTAGCTCCATCAGTGCGACCGAAACCGGTCTTGATCAGTTCCTCACAGAAACGATCAAGCAGGTCGAAAGTCTCCAGATGGGCGCAAGTAGAGATCTTGATCAGCTCGGCGAAACCATTGCGGATCTGTGCGGTGGGAAGAGTTCGCAAGAAAGTGAAGTCAAGGAATGTGTGGGTTGGTGCGTGGTACGCGCCCAGACGGTTCTTGTAATTGCCGTAGTTGACAGCAACCTTGATGGACACGGACGCATCGATCAGGCCAATGACTGTCGTGGGGATGCGGATGAATGGCGTGTTGCGGCGGTAAGCGGCGCATGCGAAGCTGGGTTGTGTCAGAAGCCAAGCAAGTCAAGGGAACTTCTATGGGGAAACGTACCCTGCAACATCTGTGACCAGACCACCTCCAACAACAAGAACAGGCTCCTTCAATTGGTGTTAGATAATTTCGATGGCTCGAATCAAGACAAGATACTTACCTTGCGGTAGACACCAAACTCAGTCATGGAATCGACGATGCTCAGCAACGTCTCCATGGACTTGGCCTTCTCACCAATCATGGTCTTGTGAATCTTGAGCTCAATGTTGTAGTGATCAAAGTACTCCTTCATCTCCTTGCCGTAGATGTTGAAGATGTTCAGGTCCATGACAGCTAAGCATCGCTTCCAGCGCGAGTAACAGTCGGCCAGCTGACTGTTCTGCTTGTTGAAAACGCCATCGAGGAACTCAAAGTCGTACTCGATCTTCTCGTAACCGCAGACGGAGAAACCCTTCTTGGTGGGCTCCACCGTCGCCTTCATGTCTGATGCCATCTTGTCAAAGGGAGTAATAGAAATTGATTCGGTCTAGGAATTGCGCAATGGGAGAGAGGAGAGTGTGATTGTCAAGATGAAAGACGTTGAGAGTTGTTGAATGAGATGAGAGTGAGGATGAAAGGAATCTGCCAGAGAGGTGCTTCCAACATCAGGCTTTTGAATGAATTAAGCTCCCCACAGCTCGAACTGCGATACAAGACCGCAGCCGTATGAGATACTTCTGGTTCCAGTAGTCATTACTCTTTCGGCGAATGTCAAATCCCGGGGAATTGTCGACGAATTGTCGACATCATCACTTGCGCCTCCAACGCTCACCTAGGCCCACTCCAGCTTGACCGACTCCTCAAAAAAGAATCAAGTCACACAATCCCAAGGCAGACGAAAGGTAGTCGTCCGAAGACGACCAGCAAGGGTCGGAGTCAAAAGGCAAGACCCCGGCTTGCCCCGGGCGCCTAAGCTTGGAGCTACGCTGCTTTACCTTTGGGTAGAAGCAGCTGGCGCAACGCAGTAGTTGACAAGAGAGGAGAAACGGTGACAAGTACATTCGACTCGATGCTGCCGTCAAACTCTGGTGGCACAAGCGAGTTGCTAGTACGGACAAGCTTTGACGGGATCGTCCTCGTTTGGTGCGCGGTTTGTTCTCATACCAGATCTCTTCGTTTCTCTCGTATTACGGTTGCTGCGTGACGGCAATGTGCAGAAAGAGTGTCATGATGCTCATGACATTTGCCAATGGGGCTTACAGCTTCTGGCCCCGGAGACGTCTAGAAGCGAGGCCTGGCGTCCGTTCTGGCGTTAGTTCCGCATGCCACAGGCTCTCTGCTTGGTTATTGTGTCACAAACCAATGCGGTCCGCGGGGCGGGAAGATGGCGTGCTGTACTCGGAGCAACTTCCGATGTTCCCTATTTGCCGCCTGTCAAGCAAAACGGCAAACAGAACGAGAGCTAGAGAAATCCCATGTTTCAGTCTGAAAAGTCGATTCCGTCATCGACATTCGATAATTTTGCGGTAGGAACGCGGAGCCAAGCGTAGCTAGAGCAGGCTAGCTATGCTTGCCCTCAGAGACAAGCCCAGGCCCCAAAGTGCTGCTTGCCTTTTACGCCCAGGACATGATCGACACGAGTCGGGAGATCTAGATCTCGCACGTGGGGAAGAGGGGGCGAGGACAGACCAGGGGGAGACAACCCTCCGGCGAGCCGCATCGGGACGTCGACAGCTTCTCGTTGGCTGGGGGAAGAAGAGCCTGCGTTACGGACATGGATGCAGTTTGCATTTCTGGTTCATCGGGTTTGTTCAAACGCTGTCAAGCGTGGGAGCCTCAGATCGGATGAAAGCATCGAGTCGCATGCTAGAGTTGGATCAGCGGCGTCCCTTCGCCTCGCCCCCCTCCCCCTGGCTTCGTGCTACCGTTGGCTTGACGCACCTTGATTGAGAAAAAGACTAAAGGCAGTTAAGACGTTTGGGAACACCCCGCAGTCGGCCGAGAAAAGCTGGCATGAGCTGAGAAAAGACTGCAGTTGCTGTGGAGTTGAGAAAGCTCGAAAGCAAAACTCAATTGCATCGTCGACGCGTTTGATGAGGTGGTATGCGCGTCATGACTTACCGTGCCCAGCCAACTGCCCCTCTCCGCGTGCCACTACCCGCAATCGTCGCGAAAGCACATGATTTTGTACTCCCGTACTCTTGTACTGATCAGGTACCTTTGTATCTGTCTACTATACGTACCGCGTACCACTTCTTCCACTTCCAGCAAAAGGTACCTACCGCATTCTCCCTCAACATATTGCGGGAGCTGCGAATCACGATCTCGCGGGATGGCAAGGTCCGGCCAGTTACCCCGCCATGACCAGATTCATGTCTCTCTCTCTTCCTCTTTAGGCCGGAGCTACATAGGTACCCTGTGGCGCCTTGCCTCCAAACAGCTATCAAATAGCCCAAGGCGTGTCATAGATGATGGCCGAGCTTTCTCCCTGCTGCTGCTGTGCTTTGCCCGGCAATTATTGCCTGGTTAATTTAATTTGGAAAGATCGGAGGAGGGAGGGGCAGCTCCACAGGGGTGAGGGGGGAAACGAGAAAGTTGGGGTAGGAGGGTGTGGTAAAGGTGGTCAAGGTCGCCGAGAGCTACGGTTCCCGTCAAATGTGCCTGCTTTGCTCGGAATTCCTTGCTTGCGCGCGACGGAGGCGGCGTTTTAATGTTGGTGGGAAGGCCTGTTCTGTTTCATCCATCGTGATGATAACTAGACCGGTGGCCCTTAGGATGAGCTGCCTGGGAATGCGTTCTGTTCTGTTTTCTCTTCCTTCTCGTCGTCTTCGGATTATCTCATCTACATAGATCTTTCGTCTCCAATTGAGATACAATAAACACCAAGAAAGCGACTGTGACTTTGCAACGGTTGGCACGCGTACCTCAGTCAAGATGCCTCACTTTGACGAAAGCAAGGCATACGCCGTCCAGGAGGAAGTGTTCTTCGACGACGGCCGCGAAATCGAACTGCTGCACTTTGTTTACAGCCAACCCAATCTCGATGAGATCCGCGGCTCGCCGGAGGGCGTGTTGAAGGCGATTGACGATTTTGGCCGGACCAAGAAGTACCTCATGAATGTGGGCGAGGACAAGGGCAAGATTGTAACAGACTTGATCGCCGAGGTCAAGCCCAAGGTGATGGTAAGAAAAGAGCTTCGTTCTCAGAGGCGGCTTTCCGTCGCAAGTTCTGCAGACTTTGATAATCGCACCTGTAACCATCCGAACGCTCTTGCTGGCTAAGGATGATCTGATCATTCCGCACTATTTTCCCCCTTTCGAGACATAGAGACGAGAGAGAGAGATTGGATGAGATCTAACACCCGCCAACAGGTCGAATTAGGAGGTTACGTAGGCTACTCCTGCATCCTCTTCGGCGCCGCCGTCCGCAAGGCCTCCCCGGGAGGCGGAGCGCAATACTTCTCCCTCGAGCGCAACCCCGAATTCGCCGCCGTCATCGGCTCCCTCGTCGACCTCGCCGGCCTCACCGACACGGTCAAAGTCGTCGTCGGCCCCAGCGACGCCTCCATCGCGCGCCTGCACGCCGACGGCATCTTTTCCAAAATCGACCTCATGTTCCTGGACCACTACAAACCCGCCTACACCACAGACCTCAAACTCGCCGAACAACTAGGCCTCGTCGGCCCCGGCTCCGTCCTCGCCGCCGACAACGTCATTAAGCCGGGAAATCCGCCTTACTTGGAGTACGTCCGCAGCTCGGTGCCCGAGAAGCGCGCCGCCGCGAGAGACGTCGGTGACGCGAGGAAGGCGGCCGGGTGGCACGACGAGCGCACGGCGAAGCAGTACGAGAAGCGCGAGGGAGAGGAGAGGCTGGACTTGTCGCGCATCGGGAACCCCAATCTTCGGTACGAGAGTAAGCTCATCAACAGCTTTGAGCCGACTGGTGTGCCTGTAAGTTCTTGGTCTCTTGGATTGACTGCTCTGGCCCATGAGGGTGCTGACAAGTTCTCGCTAGGATGGTGTTGAGATTACAAGGTGTGTTGGCGAGGAGAAGGAATGAGTTTATGAATCACGAAGTTAGAATACCATGCTTTCATCCAATTGTTCCAGAATTGTTCCAGTCACATCAAACAAAGCGGTCCAAAGGTTGACACCATCCACATCGCGCAGTGAAGTCGAGGTGTTGGCGTGTAGCGCAAAAAATCCAGAAATATATTGGATGATTGGCATGTGCAGAACAGCCGCCATTCTAGTACTCCATCTTACTCCTTTGGTTTGGTCCCAAGAGAACTGCTCCTCTAACCCGCGTATTTCATGAAAAAGAAAGAAAATTCTCCCAAAAAAATGCTTGTTTGTCCCAGTGCTCCAACAACGCCAAATTCAAACAGCAACCCACACAACAGAGGATAGACAGTCTAAATTCCCAGCCAGATCTTGGATCTCTCGTACGTGTAAAAGGCGACCGCTGCCATGGGCACAACCTTGACGTAGCCGATAGTCAAGCCCACGAAAAACCCCTGCATACCCCTCTCCCGGAAAATCATGGCGGCCGTCTCGCCGATGCGCAGTCGGTGGCCGTCGCCTACGGCACCGCCGACCTGCATTCGCCGACGAATGACCTCCAACGGGTACGATGCAGTCTGGGAGATGAGGCCGGCAACACCACCGGCGAGTAGTTCGGCCCATGATCGCAGCGGCGTGGGCTTGCCCGCAGGCAAGTTCTCCGGCCGCGGAAGCGTTGTCCATTTCGCGAGCTTGGGGTGGCGGAGAACGTCGCCGGCCGTGTCGTGCGTCAAAAAGGACATGCCGGCGTAAGGGAGCATACCCAGCATGGTCGGGGTGAAGCCTCTGTAAAAGTTGATCAGACCCGAGCGCGGGGCAACGGCGGTGACGGCGGAGGCGGCCGCCTCAGTTGCCGAGGTGCCGGCCGCTTGCGAGGCGGGGGACGTCCGCACAAAACGCTCGTTGTAGATCCGCCGGCAAATCGCGGATAACGAGGAACCGCCGTGTTTTGTCTCAAACGCTAACCGGACCCGAATGACCTCCAAGGGATATGTGAAAAAGACGGATGTGATGCCCGCCAGGGAGCCGCTGATAAGCCGGCGCCAGGGCGTCTCTTGATCTTGCCTCCTGATAATCATGGAGCGGATCTGCTCGTACGCAAGAAACTTGATTCCGGCGTAGGGGAAGATTCGGAGGAGAGTGGCCGAGTGTCCTCTATACAACCCCGTGAAGCCTTCGTGGGAGCGAATGTCCTTCATTGCCGTCACGACACCGAACCACGACCCAGTGTACTTTGCGAATTGCGGACTACTCGCCTGGAACAGAATCTTGACTCGGTCAAGAGGTGCGACAACCGTCTTTGCCTGTGGTACAAATCTGCGTCAGCATGACGGATATCCTCTCTACGCCGATTCATTCCTATTGCTACTTACAGCACATCCTGCCAGGCCTCCCGCGACGCCAGAACGCCAGACATAGTCGAACGTCCGCGTCTGCTTCCTGACGGCTACCGTCTCGTCGTCGTCAGTCGGGCACACGGGAGGGGCCCTCGTGTCTGGCTTCGGTCGCGCAGCATTTCGTTGGTTATTTGGTGCTACCTCCGACATAGAGGCATGTTCCAGCAGCGCTGACGGCATCACCTAGTCAGCGCAACCCGGCGAGCGCGCTCGTTCGCTTTGGCTGTTTGTGAAAGTGCTGGGCCCGGCGTTACTCGAGGAGCATTCCGCGAATCGTGTTTTCCAGAAGTGTGTTTCGAAGTTTCCGGGGTCGAGGATTCGAAGATTGGTGAAGGAGAAACTAAAGGAGCTCGCAGCACGAGCTGGCAGGCGAGGAGGGTAAGGATCGTGGGGGGGAGTGGTGATCGCGGAGAAGGTTCCAAGGAGGCAGAGTGCGGGAAGGGAAGGGAAGGGTCTAAAGCCGAAATGCGACGGGGCGGGACGTCATAAAGGCGAGATTTTAAAAAGGCTCCTTCTCATTGCACACAACTGGTGCTCTACGGGGGAGGAGCGTGGCGCACGAGCGGTAAATCGGGGGCTGCCCGCTGAGAGTTCTAGTACGGAGTACAGGGGTCTGGGCCACGAGCCGAAGATTGCCGAGCGTCGACGCGGGCGGATGGTCATTTTCAACTTCTCGACCTCTGCAGCGGGCTGTCTTTCCAGGATCTTCTCTGCTTTTACTCACTTCCGGTCCGGGGTTAGGCCTTTGATACCCACGATACCTCCGCAATTTCACTCCATGTGGGCAGTCGAATCGGGGACTGACTGCAAAGACTTTTCTCACACACAGAGAAACTAACTAACACCAGACCGCTTGTCCAAGGGGAAACCACACCAACGCAGGAGGGCCTCGGTAGGATTGGGGACTACAAGCACCGGACTGTTTTTTCCCACGGCCACCACAGTCAAGCCCCCACCCGGGTCCGGTCGAGGGGCACTTTGACTGCGCCGGGCCTCAAATCAAGCCTCCGGGGAAGACGCCCCGGGTCAAAGCCACAGGGGCAAGGCACGCTGGTCCTGGTTATACTTAGGTGAAGAATGAGAAGAAGATACGATTCTAGTCATGACCTCTACTAGTCTTCCATCAAAGTCCTCTCAGGCATGCTCGTCGCCAAGATGCGTCCTGTTCCAAAATGAAGACCGCTCCGTGTGTCTCGTCGACATACCCGCCTCGTTAGAGGAGAGCCAGCTCTTACCGGGCCAAGGTGCCGAGACAACAGGACAACCACAGAGACGGCTCCTCTCGGTCGACCCCGTCTCCGCGCCATTTACCCTCCCAGAGCCCCGGGAACCTCAAACCAATAACCAGACGCCGGCGAGCCAGCTCGCAGACCTCATGATCGAGGCAGCGGTGAGGAGCGCCCTCGATACGCTAAGACGGACCTGTGATGCGCCGTTTTGTCTCCCTCGTGTGACGGGCGGCGGGAGCAGCAGCGACGTCGTCAGCACCACCGGTCGTGAAAGCAGCGTAAGCCCGCAGGATCATCCCGTACGCAAGGACAACGGCGACGATGCTGCCGCTGCCACTACCGCAGCCGCTTCTCGGCCGGTTGCGGCTGCGGCTGCGGCGCACTTTATTCCCCCAGAGTCTACGTACCTGAACGGCTCGATCCAGGAGACTAGGGAATCCTTCCTCTCGACGGCGCCCAAGTTTGACCTCATTATAATGGACCCTCCCTGGCCCAACAAGTCCGCGAGGAGAAAGAAGAAGACGACTGGCGGCTATGCCACCGTCCACGGTCTCAAGGAGACGCGCGCGCTGCTGGACCAGATCCCCGTCGCCGCCCATCTCGCAGACGGCGGTCTCGTTGCCGTCTGGGTGACGAATAAGGCGACGCTGGTAGACTTGCTCACCTCGCCCAAGGGTGTCCTCGCATCCTGGGGCCTCGAGGTCGCTGCCGAGTGGCAATGGGTCAAGATCACGTCGCAAGGCGATGCCATCTTCGAAACGGAGTCTGCGTGGAGGAAACCCTGGGAGAGGCTCATCGTCGCGAGAAAACGGGGTGACAATAAGAAGGTGCCTGGGAGGGTCATTGCCGCGGTCCCTGACGTTCACTCACGGAAGCCAAATCTGCGCTGCATGTTTGACGACCTGCTGCCTCGAGGATATCGCGGCCTAGAGGTGTTTGCGCGTAATCTGACTGCTGGCTGGTGGGCATGGGGCAACGAAGCTCTTCGCTTTCAAGAGTCTCAGCACTGGGTCGCATCATCTGAAGAAATAAGGCATACCGTGACTGAGGAATCCGAATCCAAAGATACCAAAACCAATTGACACCTTTTCTATATCGCATGCCGTCCTTATTGTGTGTTATGTGTTGTACAAGACATGCCGATCCGCATGCTACACTATTGTTCTTTCGATTTTTGTACACGTGAATATCCCAACCCCTTCCGTCAACCCCCCATCCCATGAACTCGCGCAACGGGAGGATACTCATTTCCTCACCGATCTCTTCGATTGTCTCTTGATCAACCGCCAGCTCTTCGCCTTCCTCTTCTTGGGCGGATCCCACTTGCTATCCAGCTCAACCTCCTTGTTCCCCTGATCCCACTTGCCCGGCGCCGCACCGCGCAAGATTCTACCAGCCTGCTTGCGCAAAAACTTCCTCTCGGGGCTCTCCTTGTCCTTGCTCGGTCTCGCCAGCCTGCCGAGCTGCTTGCGGATGTCGCCGCGGTACTGCTCGCGCGAGACGCTCTCGCGCGCCTCCCACAGCTTCTTGTTCCAGGGCTCGAGGTCCGCGGGCGGGGAGGGCCACACGAAGGGTTTCGTCAGCTGCACCGTCATTACCTTGGTGCTCTGCGGGCGGAAATAGCCGGAGCCCGTCGACCGCCGCTCGATGGCCGACTGCTTGACTTGGGAGCGCACCGCCGTCGTCTCGACGTTGTAGAGGTTCCAGAGGTAGTCGCGGATGTCGAACTTTGTGAAGGTCAGGGGCACGTTGAAGGTGGCCATGTTGGCTGGGGATTTGTCCTTGCGGACAAAAGTGACGACATGGTTCGGCCTGAGGGGGGAGAGAGACGTTAGCTTTCTGTGCATGATGTTTTCGAGGTGCGTGGCGCCATGGGGTGAAAGGTGATCTCGGGTGAAGGTAGTTGTGATTGGAAAGCTAAACCTACAGATACACTGCCTTCGTTCCCAGCTTGAAGGATGCCGGCCCTTGGCGGGCTACCGCTTGTGCCAATGCCTCCGCCATCTTGTCGTCCGTCGTTGATTTGGCTGAGCTTAATCGATCGTGGAGCTCCTGCGATGCGAGAATCCAAAAAGTTGACCGTCAGGATTGATCTGCTTGATGATTGGTCGACTCGGGGTCACGTATTTCCGCCCTTACTAGTGGGGCCAGATTTACGGGTGCCGGGCGCAGGTGCGGGAAAATTGGGTCAACGATAGCTCCCTCAAGGTGTCTCCACACGAGGTCAATTCTTCCGACCGGGCCCGCTCCCCGGCCTTTGACTCTCGGCTTCAGATACAATCTATGGGCAACTTACCTTGATTCCACGTAGGTATTAACAGTCACCTTGGCACTCCTAGTGAAAGCCAAAGAACTCCAAATCAAGGTGCTTT